CTTAGTGTATCACTATCGATTAAGTGTGTGAAATTAATCAATAGAAGACTGGAGAATCCGGTGAGCTTGTTCCATTTATTACTACGTAGTTAGATTTTTGACTGTGATCACAGACAAAGTCTATACTTAATATTTTTCCCAACAACTATTAAAATACGTATTTAGTCGAGTCCATATACCTTTAGGTAATGCGTATATCGTTAAATGCAATCACATTTGAACAAAGTTTACATCAATATAATTTACGTACTTACGTTATTCTACTCATATACAAAATCCAATAATATGGTCGTTTGATAGAACTTCATCAATTTGATTCGATGTTCTAATTGTCCAGTTTTGGAAAATACTTATTAAATCAGCTATTAAACTATTATAATACTAACTAGATTCATATCTAGTTACTATAAATTATTTATTTATTGAGGATAAATAGACTGAGGTGGCTGTGGTCTGGTCTCATTGCTGGGGAAACAACCATTGAAGAGAGAGAGGGGTTATTGAGTGGCGACCCTGTAAATGCAAGTGCGGTGTGGGCTACCTCCATTGTTTGGAGTGACTGTTTTATGTGTATTGTGTGGCCGTTCCTTGTGTCAGTCGGTGGAAATTGCCTGTGTTCAGTCGTGGGTTGGTGATGGTTGAGACGATGATGATGATGAAATATTTGTATTTATTACACTATTACAGTGTTGGTTTGGAATATCTGTTCATACTTAACGCTTCATGGTGAAGTGTTTTTATACCATTACTCGGTCGACCAGATTAATGATTCTTAGTCTATATTTGATTATCCATGACTACATGTAGGGATTTGTTTTACACCAGATGTACAAAGAGACAGCTTAACTGTTGCAAGTGATATTATGTGAATGTAATACTTTTAATACATTATTAATTGTGTTACTAGATAAATTCATGTGACTGTGGGGTGTTTATGGTAAACAAGCCTGTATTGTTTAGATATTTTGTCTTGATTTATTATAAACTTTAATATTGATTTTATTGTAGTGAGCAAGCTGACAATAACAACTCTTTGTATATTACTGCTTTTAATAAGATTTATTTCCTAATGGTAATAAATGTTCTAAAGGATTCTCTGACTATAGTTACTCTTAACTAGGTATGAGGTACAGTATAAAATTAGTACTAAATGACAAGTATGAGTTATGTATTTTACTCATATTTAGGAGGAAAGTTGTCATGGCGATAAAGTTGTATGTGTGTTGTTTGTTCATGCTATATTGACTAGACAAGTTCAGACAGGGTTAATATTAGTGAATCTTTATTGGATTTATATTTAATATACATATTTTGAATATTTTATGGGAATAGAATGGAGATATACAAGTAGTAAAATATATTTTATGCATTTAATTATTGAGTTAGTTGTATATGTTGGGCTGTATTCAAGGGGATATGATCTTATTAATATCAAGTTAGGACAATTACTTTAAATATTAATAAAGCAAACACTAACACTGATTATTCACTTCTTTAATAAATTTACATTAGAGGTTAGAAATCAAATAGATAGCATATTGGGAAATCTTCACCACACATGTATTTGAGGAATGTTCTTGATAATTAGTACTGTATGTATATATTATTGCAAGTACAATTGCAATAAGAATGTTAAACTTCTAATCTTCTGTTCATTCTTGAATTTGAAAGTAAGCTTGGCTACTGATATGAATATAAAACTGCAGCATTACTGGATACTATTAATTATTACTGGTGTAAACCTTGATTATTTATATCACTGATAATTTAGTTATATATTACGGTTGATATATGATGATTTTATATTTAATTATATTAAACAAATACAAATAAACAAACTTGCTAGTATTTGTTACGTTGACAGTTGTGATAGATAATCAAAATTCAATTCAATACATCAATACGTCATTTTTTTTTTTTTTTTAGTACGTTTGTTCCGTTTGGAACAGGCTAAGGTCGGAGACCATGCTGCCTAGTCTTCAAAGAGATAATTTGTCTGGAATTTTATTTTTCTAATGTCGCTTCAATTATTGTCATAATCTTAAATATTTCATTTGTCAAATCCGGTAAGTACATTTTCATAAATATCTTTTCTTGAGTTTTCTTAAACCAGTGGATTTATCAAATTAAAAATAAATAATTATAAAAAATCATTGTCTTGCAATTCAATAAAAGTATTCTTATAGCTCCTTGAATGTTGTAGTAATATAAATGAAAATAGCTTTGAAACAAGAAGGAAATCTTAAGAGAATCGGGATTGAGTGCGGGATATTTTCGGGTTTTTTGAAGATAATCCTAAGTTCGTCAAACATAATGTGTCTTTGAATGACAAATTCAGAGCAATCAAAAAAAAGGTGATGTAGAGATTGGGCTGTATTTGAGTTACACCATGTGCATGATGGGGAAGCGATCATGCCCATTCGGTGCAGGTGTTCGTTGAAATGTCCGTGGCCGATTCGTAATCTACAAATATATGTAAAATTTTCTGTTTGTGTCCCTTCCTTTGCAGAACCACGGTTTTCCAATACGCCAATTAATTTTGCGGTACCATTTGCCTTTAGTCTGTAATATTTGAGTCCAATGCTCCTCCCATTTAGTTGTAACGATTTTATGTATTCCAATACTACAATCTATATAAATAAATCTTGAACACGAGCAGCACTTGAATTAATAATTTTAGCCAAAGTGTCTACTTGTTCATTCCCAAACACTCCAATATGTGAAGGGGTCCAGATGAAGATAATATCTTTTCCATATATAGTACAGAGATGATAATATTTATTACGAATTTCTTGAATTAAGTAGTTTGATGATGAAATGAATGTGTTATTTTTTAATGCCATAAGAACACTCATACTATCTGTAATTATAATCCATTTCGAATATAGTATCTTTTTCTATGTATTCTAATGCTAAAAATATAGCTTTTGCTTCTGCTGTGTAAATACTAGCCAAAGTTGAAATTTTATAACCGTGACCAAATCTATTTGACAAATCGTAAAAAGCCACTGAAGTGCTAAGTGCATTTTTGGAACCATCTGTATATATCTGCCTGTAGTCAATAAATTCTGATAAAGTCTCATACATATCGTGCTTTTCTTTTATGTCTTTACGTATAACAATCTCTTTTACAGAACTTACTCTCATAAAGGCCATTATAACAAGGAAGTATCTTACTACTATAGATGTTATATTCATCTCGTAAATTCATATCATTGACAATAGTTTTATTCAAAAACATAGAAATGGGGCAATTTAATAATTTGAGTATGAGTGGGTTATTGGAAACTGAAAAAACTTTGAAGAGAAATTTGAGTTTTAGGTATTCGAAACAAAGAAGGATAGGAGGCAAATTACATTCTACTTGCATTGAGATAATTGGAGAAGTATACATAGCACCTAAAATAAGTCTTAAATTCATATTTTGAATTTTTTCGAGTTTTTCTACTAATTTATGTTCTGAGGCATAACAAAAGAAATTAATCAAAATTACTTCTAACAAGAGATTTGTAAAGTAAAAGGATAATTTTAGGATCAGCTCCCCAGTTACGACCAATTACAGATCTTATTATATTAGTGGCTCTTAAAGCACGATCTACTAAGCAATCAACGTATAGATCCCATTTTAAATTTTGATGAAATATTACCCCCAGAAATTTAACGCTACAGTCTGCTGGAAGAGTTTGATTATTATATATAATATTCATTAATGGAACATATTTATGAACTTGATGAAAAACAACTACTTTACTTTTGGTTAAACTAATATCGAGGGAAAGAAGAGAAAAATATTTCTCAAGTCTTTTTAATGACTCATTTAACACTAATTGCATATCAATAATATTCTTTCCTTTTATATAAATTAATAAATCATCGGCAAATTGCAAGTTGTTCACACTGTTTCCTAAAATTGAATTAAGTTTATAGATATATAAAATATATAGTAGCGGGCTTAGAATACCACCTTGACATACTCCTTTAGAGCTTAACCTAGGTCCTATTAATTTACTATTTACTTTAACATACACTTCTCTATTACTAAGAAAATTATAAATCCATTCGATAAGTTTCATTGGAAGAAATGAGGATAAAATCGAAGATAGAACTGTTAAATTTACATTGTTAAAAGCTCCTACGACATCTAAAAAAACAGATAGAACATATTCATCGTTATTCAAAGCAGTACTAAGGTCGACATAGAAGTTCGCTAAACTTTCGCGCACTGAATATCCACGGCGAAAACCAAATTGATTCGATGGTAATATACGAGTACTATTACTTTCAATAAAGAACTCTAAACGCTGTTTAATTAATTGTTCGAATAATTTGCCTGCACAGGACGTCAATGTTATAGGTCTATAGGAGTCGAAATTTGTAGGATCTTTACCGGGTTTAATTACTGGAATCAAACAATCCATTTTCCATTCTGGTGGGATAATACAGTCCTTCCATAAATCGTTAAAAATTTGTAAGAGTTTAGTAAGGTTTATTTTATTCAGCAATCGAAACATATTGTATGTAAGCGATCAAGGCCACTAGCTGTATCTTTTCTCGATTTTACTGCACTGGATATTTCACAATTGAGAATGGGTCAGTGAGAAATTTTGGGCATGAATTAACAGAATTAAACTGTTTGTCATCAAAAGGTGAGTGTACAAAATCAGGAGTATATTTGCGTAAAAAATCATTGACCCATGATATATCTTTAAAATGATTTTGACGATGTTTTGAATTTAGTTTTCTCATATTTTGCCAAACAGTGGAAATTGGTGTTAATCTATTAAATTTGGAACAAAATTCCTGCCACCCCTGTTGTCTTACTTGCTTAATTACTAACTTTTTAACAGCTTGAACTCTTTTAAAATTTATGTAATTATCGAGAGTTGGATTTTGTTTAAACCTAAGGTAAGCCGCTTTACTATCATTGACAGCTGTCGCACACCTGTTATTCCACCAAGGTACTGCAATATGTTTGTTCCTCTTTGAATTATTTGCACCGCTATTTGATAAGTTCCTACGTGGAACGGAACGTTCCACAGCTGTCAAAATAATTTTACAGAACCTATTGTAATTGTTTAAGGGTTCATTGACATCATACTCGAAATCCAAAAGTAATCGATTAACAGTTTCAGAATAAAGATCCCAATTAACGAGACGTAGGTTTATACGATTTAACAAAAGTTTATTAACTTCATCTATAGGAGCATGTTGTTCACCTGACGGAGTTGATGAAGAGTTCTTTGTGTTTATTTTAGTAAAAGTCGGCAGGTGATAACTTAACGGATCATCATGAACCGACCACTCGCTTTTTAATGATATGGATGGGGATACCATAGTTAAATCAAGGCCATTGGGTCTCCAAATATGAGAGCCAACAGTAGTAACTTGCTTATCATTTAATAGTACCAAATTACATTCATCTAAACAATCAAGAATGTCTTTACCTCTTGTATTAGTGGAGGTACAACCCCACATAGTATGATGTGCATTTAAATCTCCAGATATGATAGTGGGTTTAGGAAGAGACTCCAAAAAGAACTTAAATTTGGCTTTAGTAAAACTAGGTGTACTATTGGTAGGACAGTAAATACTGGCAACTGAATACCAAGAATTATTAACTTCAATACTAATAGCTATAGTTTGCAAAGAATTGTCGAAAAAAGAGTGAAGTTTTTTATATCTAATACTATTATGTATAATAATCGCTACTCCATTGTGGTTATTACCACAATCATTTCGTTCTATACAATAATCTTTAATTTTTAATTTGTAATGTGGTTTTACAAGTTTCTGAGATGAGAGCAATGTGAATATGATGTTCATTTAAAAATTGTGTAAAAATATGTCGATTGCTCAGTAGGCTCTGAGCGTTCCACTGTATGATAGTTAATTGGTCTCGATTGAATTTTGTGAAATAGGTCTATTACCAAAAGTATCATATAACACATTCAAAACACTTTTAGTGTTAATAGATGTGTTCTTTGTGTTATGTAGTGAAATAAGTTTGATTATGCTTTCTATTAAAAGTGATAAACTCTTGTTATCAGAATTTAGAATTGAAATTAGGTCTACATTTTTTTTTCTGAGGTTTGTTACCCAGTTTAGGAAATATTTCAGTGCTAAGTATATCTCCAAAAGAAGCAGGTCTGAATTTAGATCTATTTTCAGCAATTTTCTTTTGTTTAACAGGGCATTGCGGTGATACACTTGTGTGATTTCCATTGCAGTGTACACAAATAGCGTTATTCCAGTTGTACAAGTTTTATAATTATGCTCACCTTTGCAGATGCTGCAACGCTCAGAATTCTTACAGAATTTAGCTAAATGTCCATACCTCAAGCACCGGTAGCATTGTTTAACTGGTGGTATATATGGAGTGACATTGTGGCGCCAACCTCCAATATCCAGATATTCAGGTAATACAGATGCAGCAAAAGTAATTGTCACGGTTAGAGTTGGCTGTAACACATATCCATGAGTCAAGGTATTTTTTCTTAAAATTCTTTTAATAGCAATAATTTTCTTAGAACTCGATATCATAGTATATATTTTTTTATTAGATATATTTGTAGGTACATTTCTAATAACGCCTGTAACTTCTGTTGAAGAAGCAGGAATACTGGCCTTAAAATGGTAGTCATTTAAAAAAGTTTTATTATTTAAAAAAGCATTGGCTAAGTCTGGCTTTTGAAAGTATACTCCCATTTTGAATTTATTTATAGATCTAAGATAAGTTACCCCTTTATTAAATCGTTTTAAACAGGAGGAGAGTGAGAGCAAGTCTCTGGATCCAATGGTTTTCTGACTATCTGAGGATTCTACAAAGACAACAAATTCTGTCCCAGGGGATTCCTCGGGATATCTTCTAATATAATCTGTGACGTAGTAAGGTTTATACTTATCGGCCTTATCAATTTCAGATTCTGAGTCAGTAGAAGTATCTTCCGAATATATATCCTTGTCATTACAAGGTTCATGGTCTACATCACCTGAATCGTCATCTTTTTTTTTCCTTTTTCTACAACTGCGCTTCCCCATGAATGCTAATTATATTACTGTCGCTGAATTTAGTGAAAATATAATATTTTATTCAATAATAAGAATTGATAGAGATAGTTTTAATAAATTAATAAAAAAAATTTAAAAAACCCGCTTGTTCTTATTCGAGTTTCCCGCCTTTTTTCCTCAATACGTCATTCAATACGTCATTAGTGTGACAGATGTCAAACAAAAGGAGATTATACACGTTATGATTCTATATCTAAGTCTATAGAAAATTTATATAATTTTCTGTTATTTTATAATAACTGTAGGGGAAATATTGGAATTATTTATATGAGAAATTTCACTTAAATGATATGATAATTATTTAAAGACCTAATTTCTTAGGGATTTAATCATGATGATTTAAACACTAAAACACTTGTTTATCTGAGAAATCTTCTTAGTAAATAGGTTTACTAAGACACTAAAAGGAAGTAGATATAGTATAACTATAGTACAGCTACAATAATTGTATAAGACTTACTGTCCATTCTATACAAATATATATTTAATCTATATCTTTCACATTATAATAATGCAATATATTGCATCTACTACTACAACATACACAAATAGGACTTATTGTCCTTCCTATATACCTATATATAATAATTGACCTGGCACTTTAATGTGTAAATTATCAGTACTTATGACAACAACCAATTAGGACTTATAGTCCTCTCTATAAAGCTACATAATTATTTAATCTGATTATTTCACAATGTGATTAAAATTAAACCTCTACAAATATTACAAAAGATCTCTATTACTCTCAACACAATAATAGCTTGTTGGACTTAGTGTCCTCAAACTTATAGAAAACCCAACTGGTTATTTCACGAGACGTTGTTAACTTGTGATTAATCAGTGTCTTTTAAAGGACTTATAGTTCCTTTAGATATATCTCTCTGAATAAATAATTGGTTAATTCACAATGTGGTTAATCAACAATAATATTATATATAATTGACTGGACTTATAGTTCATTTAATAGCACTCATTACTTTTAGTAGCTCTCGACCTATGGGTTGGACTACTCGTTCTTAGGCTCCGGCCTAATCAACAGATTTAACTTGAACCTTGAGTATTCTTGGTATTAAGTAAATAATATTAAATTGACAATGCTATGTTATGATAGCAATTATCAACATTATGAACTTGGCCAATTCCAGGGTGTGGAAGGTATCCCCTATCACACAAATCTTCATCTTTATCGGACTGTCTTCACAGGTGATCTCTAATGTCACATTATAGGGCCGAAGGGTTATGTTCCATCAAAGTAGGTTCTGGTGTCTGGGTGATCTCGCTTCTTGGTCTGATCTCTTGTGGAGCCGAAGGGAAACCCCCATTGAGTAAGCTCGTAACAGGGTGACGCTGGGAAACAGTTTCGTACTGTTAGTGGGTGATCTCTATGTCGCCATATAGGACTGAAAGGGTCATCGCCCATGAGTAAGCTCTCGTGTCGGAGTGATCCTGGGATTTCAGTTCCGATCCGTTTGCCTCTGGCAAACACTAATTTATACTGGAAGCATCGTGGGGCTGGTGGAGCCACTGTAATGTTGAAGTAAATGTACTTATGTTTGGTTTGGAACTGAGAATACTCATTCCCTTATTACCATCAGAGTGCATTAATAAATAGTAATACCCTTCCCTACCTTTTAGGAGGAAGAGTTATAGATAGTTGGAAAGTCTTCCACTGGTTCGGGCGTGTGAGGGGCCCGACCGCTCCCCCATTTTTTTATTATTACAGTTATTCTGTAATTTACTATTAAATTAACATAACTTCCTAGTTACACGAATAATGAGTGTAATTCATTAATTATTTTTAATCTTTAAAGCTTTATCAATTATCTTCATTATTTATCTCCTATCATATACCAATTAAAGAACCTTTTGGTTATTACACACACAACGGGTCCTACATTACTAGACGATCACACATTTATTTATCTGGCTAAATGATCAAGTGTTCTACTATAAGATCTGTTCAATATTATATGTTTATTGTAAAGGTTATATGATTCATAGGGTGTTTGGGGTATATAAGGCAATATAGGTATGGGGTTATATTGAGGGTGTTAGGCCATTCCTTAGGGTAGGTTTTCATTAGATTTTCATGAGATTTCATTAGGTAAAGCCTTCGTAGGCTTTTCTTAGGCTTTGTAGGTTTTCCATGTGTAGCTTATTTAGAGAGTAGTTATATTATATGAAGGGGTACACAGGGGCAGATAGGGGGGGACCATCACAATTGGTGCCGTGACCAGGATATAATTGGTTCATGGCTATTTACATATCAGATCAATAAGAACACTTGGTCACAATTGGAGCTTGTGACTTCAGGGATTGGTTATTAAAATATGAAGGAGTATAAAGTTAAACAGTAATATCTGCTAATAGTATAACTCAAAACCAACTTTGATGATTATGACTAAATAATTATACCGTCATAGATCTAGGATTTGGACCTAATTTCATGATTTCTATGTCTATAGGTAAATAGTTTTTATTGTTATTTCATGTTTTTAGGATTTAAATTACCAAATTCATTTAATGGTTATCTATTGTAGTCAATTGTACAACAAATTTACATAATTTGGTTTATTTTTCATTTACTCTATATCACTTGAGTAAATAATATTAGAAATATAATAGGCAAATAACAATAGCAGCAAGGATAGCTTGCTAGGTTACGAGTATATTCAGTACACATTGATCTAATTTTATGCTACAGGACACATTTATTATTCTTTTGCTTCATTAATTCTCAATACTTACTGAACTATTTATTTAACATAATATAAATTTTATAAACAATAATTATGCTATAATGACTTATACATAAAATTTATTAAATTCTTTTTATTATTAAAGAAATAATTTAAGATGAATTAATGACATTATTTATTTCTGAGGAAATATCCAATTGACTTTTATTTCATAAACTTTTATGATGCAGTGACATTTATTATATATAAAAAAAAAAAAAAAAAAAATAATTATGATTTGATTTTGATCATCCTAAGATGTTTAAATAGCTTATATAATGTTTTATAGGGGGTTTCAAGTTGCAAGTTAGACGTTTCATAAAATATCATTAAGGTTAGTTAGGGCCTTTAGTTACTTTATTTGATTACCTAAATTTGAAAATTTAATTAGGTGTTTTCATGTTGTTAAATTTAATTCCAACAATTTATTAGGATGCTATTATAATATTTTATTTATGGTTCTGTACATAATTTCTTTATTCCACTTTACAATTATATTTCAGATTTTATATGATTATTCGCTTATTTTGACTTAGACACTTATTATAAAAAAAAAAAAAAAAAACTTTATACTTATATCAGAGGGAGATTTTGTAGGTTATTTATTCAAGTACACTCTTTACATGCCTAAGTATTTTACATACTTAGATTTTGCGCACACTTAGTTATTTAGTTCTTTGTAGTTGCACATAACACAAGACATCTGTATCTTTTGAAATAATAATTTATTGTACAAAATAAATTAATTGATGTATCTAATGTAGTTGTTTGTATTTATGTTAGGTTTGCTATTGTGATCTTTTGGGGGAGGCGATGGGGGGTGTCTATCTACCTATCTAATGGGGTTACATAATATTTTATTATAAAACTTATTGATCATGTTATTTCTGAGAGTATTAAGAAATAGTCATTGGTAATTTAAGTATATTAAAGGAATTTCTTATAATAAGAGTTTTAAACTATGGGGGCCGTTTGTATTATTTTATGCAACATATTTATAGGAGTCTTAAAATTGGGGGGCCGTGCAAAATTTGTCAGACAGGGGGGCCGGTGGTGATAAATTATTATTTATATAAGCTTTACTTCTATGATTAAAATTAATAAATAAAAATTAAATTTATTTGAATTTTGTTAGGGACTATTATTTTTTTTTATTCAATGAACACTAGGTTATTTCTTAGATGAAATATGTATTTGTGGTTACTTTGACGCTTCATAAAGTTTTATTCGTATTGTTTAAATTTATTTTAACAAATTTATTTGAACATCTTCATTTTAATATTTAATTAACTTGGGATTTTATCTAATCATTTATTTACACTTAGACAATTATTTTAGGATTCCTTTTTGCATTTATTACATTTTAATGCTTAAATTATTTCACTTCATTTCGCTTTAAGTTTTTTACTTAGGCTCTTTCGCTTGTTGATATATTATACTCATACATTTAAGCTTTTAATTATGAACTTCCATTTAGATGTTTTAACTCGTATCTTTTAAATAGATACTTTATCTAAATTTACTGATACAAATAACGTATCTATTAGGTTCTTTACTTGAAGCTCTTCACATATTAAGGTTTTATACATTTAGACTCCTCACATACTTAGGCTTTTCATACATTTAGGTTTTATAGACTCCTTTACACACATTTAGGATTGTATTCATTTATGCTGTTTATGACATTGTAATTACATGCATTGAATTTATTACATATAAATAAACGAGTATAAAAATTTTAATTATAAAATTTAATGGATTCACTCTATCATTACAGCGTATGCAAATTAATTATAAATAATTATTTACAAATCTATTCATAAATAAATATTATGCTTAATTATTAATATATTGAGTAAAAATTTTAAGGCTATTCATACACATAACATTCAACAACACATAACTTCGGGTTTAAAGATCTTTTTAATACTTTTATTGTTTTGAGTCTTAAGAATATCAGAGGGTCTTAGTATCGATTAATCAATGAAAATTTAAATGATTTTAAAGCTCTGTAAAGTTAAATTATATACAGATATGTGAGGTACATTTTTAGGGTTGGAAAAAAAAATTGTAACAATAAACTTATCTTGTTGTAATTATCAATCCGGTAAACTCCTTGATAATTAGGGGGCCGGATGTGACGGTTCGCCTATAGTACAATAGGTTTAATACCATAAGTACATAGAAAGAAACAGGGGTTCCTATGGGTGACCGCTGCGAAAACTGAGCTATTTAATATAAACAAACTTTAAAGTCAAGGTTCACAATAGCGTACAGAGAAGACGTTACCATATATGAAATATTGACACAGAAGGGAAACTTCTTTGATGTGTTTCCAAAGTGTAGTGGATGTCACAAGAAAATTAAAT